CCTTCCTGATGACTTGTGATCTGATGACTAGTGAGGAAATGATCAAGAAGCAGCAGAACGGATACAGAAAGCACAGATCCACAGAATGAATAAAACAGAAGCATGGTGATCCTTGCACTACAGGGCTTCAGGTACAGCTTTCTCTCCTGTAAGGAGAACAGTGAGCGGCATAGTAGTGACATCACCAAATCTCACTCCATATCTGGCAAGATAAGCAGTCAGAGGTTGCAATGCCTTAGGTGATCTCACAGGGGAGATGAGGCTGTGGGCACAGTTCATGAGAAGCCAGGAAGAGCACTGGTATTTTTCAGAAGGAATTCATTTCAAAGGCAGAGTTTTAAGGAACTGCTTAGGCACAAATAACGTGTCTAGATGTTCCCTGTAACACAACAAATTTTCACTTTGGGTCTAGTTTAAGATTATTCTCTTTAGCTAGTAGTAAACAGTCATATCCAATGTTATTGGGGTTATCGCCACATTACCTGCTGAATGAGGGACCTGGCCTCTTTAGACACACACTCCGGCATATTGAGCGACGTGTGAGTGCCGATTCCTGCTGGGTGACAATCAACCAATGCCTGAAAAAGCAAGTTCACACTAAGCTTTACAAATGCCATACATGAGATAATATTACATGTACACACACTTCTGATATACTGTATATTGTACATGCCTTTCTGTCATCTCTCAGTCAGTGAGCTCTCTGCATCTGTGTTCCCAGCCCTGTCCACCAGGCACAACCGCAATGTGAACCTGGCCATACACACATAGATTTCTTTCATTCAGCCTGCGGTCATTCACATGGCAGGACTCACTGTGACGTTCGCTGCGATATGTAACATGTGCGGCGTAATGGGCGCAATTGTCTTTTTTGCACGTATGCGCACCCGACGCATGTTTGCATGTATGGGTGGGGACTTTAAAACATGTTTTTGTTTTTTTATTCTTTTTTATGTGTAACTTTAAAAAACATTTTGTGGGGGTACTTTCATTTTTTTTTTCACTAAACTTTATTGCTATCACATACTGGGGCTAATAAAAAACCCCTATGTGATAGCAAAATATGTGACAGGTCCTCTTTATGGAGGCATCAGGGGTCTCCAAGACCCCTAATGTCACCTAGGACCCCCCAAAAGAAGCTGATGAAGCACAGATCTGCTCCATCAGCTTCTTTCCAGCTTCTGAAGCTGGAGAGTGACACATGTTTTTAAATATAGGGCAATTCCCGCTCGCGCGCGCCCAGCAACGCGCGAGGGGGCGTGTCTGAGCGGACGCCTACAGACGCCTCTCAGATCTAGAGAGTTTTTTTACAACGGCCGGCCCGGAGGTAGTTAAAGCATACTGTGGGGTGTAGCTCAAATGGGGATCACCTTCCCTGGGAAAAAGGTAGTCCAGGCAGCAAAGTTTTTCTTTTATCTGACTAGCAGTCAGTTTTTATTTAAAAGGTTGCAATCAAACAAAATAGAACAGAAAACAAATCCTTGCCTTTCAGGCTCTGACTAAACAGGCAGGTTTTCTCTCTACCAGGTGGTGAGCTTATCTCAGCCACCTCACAAAACAAAAGTACTTTCAGCAACCTTTTACTCACAACCATCCAACTTGCGGCTCTCTCAGAATGCTGTCTGAGTCCCAGGCCAGAGCAACATCATGCTTCAGCCTTCCCCTTTTATCTCACCTGGATAATCAATCATTAAGCAATTTACAATACAGGTGAGAGACACAAAACCCGAGCTGGATTATTCAGACCCATAGTCAACCCGAAAACCTGGTCTGGGTTCCGCTAGTCCTGTACATAGGATAGAAAGCGAGGGGAAATATATCGCCCCTCGATGACTTCCCCTTTCCTTATGTCACAATACCTAAACCCAAAAATAAAAATGTCACATATTGCAGATTACCAGTCCATAGATGTGGTGGCTGCATTCATTTTCTTTTTTTAGGAATAAATATAATATTTGAAGGTACAGAAAAATACCTGTTGACTCTGTGTACTGAACTGAAATCACAATGTGATCCGCTTTCCCAGCTATCTTCGGGGAACGACAAAGCACTGCACCATGTAATGGAGATGAGGAAAGAGGAGGTGTTCTGTAATCCTAATATACTTTTTGCATTAGGGTGACAACCCTGCTCCTCCATAGATACAGTACAGTGAGTGAGTACAGTCACCCTAGGAAAGGAGGAATGTTGTTGGCAAAGTCACCAGATGAAAATAAAGGACTAAGAACTAAAAAAAAAAAAAAAGGAAACTAATGCAGACAACACATGTACAGTCTGGTAAGCTGCAATACATTACATTTTTATTTAAATTCACTTTCCTTTAAGAAGAGTGCTAAAGGGCCCTACCATGTGACAGCATTGCCCTAATAAGAAAGTACTATACTTGATTTTTAGGATAGCATCAAATAAGGTAGTATCATTTTTCTATTTAAGACCACTGGGGTCAGAGGGGTGGAATTTCTTACCCAATGTCCCCTGTAATGGTAAAAGAGGGATCCCCGTTGTATCTACCCAGGGGAAGGGTGCCCATATTCTCTCTGAGCCCAGACTATGGAGTGAGCCCTACTGCCCAATCGGCTCTTGGTGAACAGGTTAGTGGCTCACTGTACCACCAATTGACTTATATACCAGAAAAATCAAATACCATAAATTCATAGTGTGGTGGATTTTCTAATACTTGCTCATCTCCACTCTACAACACTAATCTCCACATATTTGTTTAAAGACTATAGAATTCCACCACACATATACAGGTGCCATTCAGCGAGCATACATGTCACCATATATGTAGATGCAATCAAATTATTTTAAGAGGAGGACAAAAATCCCCACAAAAATAGAAATATGAAACCGTAAGCATCATAAATCTGGTAACCTTACCTTTCATCTTCCGTTCCCTATATGTTAGAGGTAACCCAGGAATAGCAAGGAACCTGCTTGTACAGCTGAAATCTGAAAAGTCTAGCGTAAGACACTTCCTATGCATTATCCTAAATGCTTTCCAAGCACTATTATTTAACTCTGTGTTGCTGGGTTACTGTCATAATCAGCTGCCATTGTAGATCACATAAAGGCATTGTTACAGAAAAGTATTAAAGGTGACCTAATTCTAAAGCAAGGTCTACTTTCTTTAGTGAGGCAGGAATTAGCGAGGAGGGTAAGAGTATAAAAGCATCCATAAACATACGTGTCAGATGTTAAATGTAGGTGCCGTGGTGCTCCGATTCCAGGTCATGTGACAGAGCAATGATATCAGAGGAGCCTTCAATTACACTTCATGAAGACTCAGCTGACATCAAAGCCAGCAATGTAGAGCTTATGGTAGCAGAGAACCATGGGAACTCCTTGTTACTGGTAGAAGGTAAAAACAAGGGAACTCCTTGTTACAGTATAGGGATTTTCATAACTCTTCCTGCCCTATTACAGTAAACTCCCAGTTATCCGACACCCACAGGGATCAGTAGGTGTCAGATAACTGTAGTTTCTGGTTGCTTGAGAGTTAATAGTAACTCTTAAGCAACAACTTCCCCGTGGCACCCCTCTCAGGTCCGCTCCTCTGCTCAGTGGGCAGGTTCAATAGTCAGCCTGCTATTGGCTATTGTAATTTGAAATAGCCAATAGAAGGCTGGCTGTTGAAACCCTGCCTACTGAGCAAAGCAGCAGACCTGAGATAGAAAGTTTTCTCCAAGGTCTGCTCCATGGGCGGGGTTCCAATACCCAGCCTGCTATTAGCTATTTCAAATTGCAATAGCCAATAGCAGGCTGGCAAATGAAACCCCACCCACTGAGCAGAGAAGCAAACCTGAGAGAGTTATCTCTCAAGTTCGCTTCTCTGTTCAGTGGGTGGGCACAATAGCCAGCCTGCTATTCCATTTTGAAATAGCCAACAACAGGCTGGCTATTTCTCCCCATTGTCCACACTCTGCTGCCGACTGTGGAATCTAGCCGCTGGCCGGCAGCAAGATGTACACAAAGAATTTAGTTAGCAACTAAATAAATTTAGTTGCAAATAAAATATTTTAGTGTGCACCAAGTAACCAACAATTTTTTTATGTGCATCAATCCACTGACGAAAAAAAACAAAAGAATCGAGAACATATGTTTTTTTTTTGTTGGTTGCTTGAGAGTGCCGGTTGCTTGAATGGCGGATAATGGGGAGGAGTTTACTGTATCAGCCTTGGTTAATGAAACCAGATCTAGCTTTATGGCCCCTTCATACCCCTTTGCTTGCATTAAGAAACACACCTTAAAGAGTATCCAAAGCATAAACTTTTTTGTTTTTAGTTGTGGTCAAAACTACAAAAAAAAGGATGTCAATAGATTTATTTTGAGACACATACCTTCCTTGTGAGCAATTCAAAGAGAAGGGCACCTAGACTCCACCAGTCACAAGCCTCGGTCTCCTCAGCTATGCTTCCAACTTCTGCAAACAAAAACAGCATCATTAGTATTAAAAAACAAACTTGAGTCCCACGATCTCACCTTTTAGCAGTTTGGAATATACAACATGCAGAAATTAAACAAATGTTTTCTATAGGTTACTGCTCTTTGCAGATTGATAATCGGCCTTATTAATTTAATGGGCAATTCCAGGCAAACAGCTAGAAACACAGAGGAAAAATAGCTAGACCTACCTTCACATTCCACTATGATCTACCAATCCTTGCTGTGCTATACAGTGTCCCACCATAAGGAGGGTGACAGCTCATTCAGAGCCTGCAGATCCGTTCCTTCAACTAGCAGTGCACCTGCCCACAGGAGTGACACCCACCCTGACATTTCCCATCAATAAGCTCACCAATGTACCTTCCTTCCCTGCCAGTTAAATTACTTAACATGACCCTTCATGCCTTGTAGCAGAGCGGTTGTTATCTTGATCATGATTGCGTTTGTAATCACTCACACTCATTACCGTGCATTAATCTGCATTGTATCAAGTTATTTTCCTCTTGTTCAATAAACTATTATTTGAGACAAAAAAAGGCTCTCCTATCATGAAAGAAGTACAAGGGCTGCCATTACAGGCATTCTTCTGGTATTGCTTAGTGCCTTGCTGGGAAGCAGGAACAAGCATGCTGTAAATAACACTTCCTTATCTCTATACTTGTTCTTGGTCAGTGACACAAGAGGGGCTGATGCCAATTCATTAGCATGACAACTCGGAAACTAGCATTTTCAGAAAGAATGATCAGCAAAGGCAGCCTCCATGATTCTCTCATCACAAGTTTCCTTTGAAGACCAACTGAACTAAGAGTTTACCTTGGCTGAATACATTTTAGGTGCATCAAAACAAAAGGTGGGCAATCCTTTTAGTTGGTTTGTTTTTCTAAAGCAGCCACAGCCTGAGGAGAAAAGCCAGACCCCTACCAGCAATCTGCAGCCCTTGCAATCTGTGGGGAAGCAGTGGGTCCCTTCACAGAGGTCCAACATGCCCCTTGCTGGGTAAGAGCCACCAGACCTTTCCAATCAGCAGAGAGCATGAACTTTGCTGATTGTAGAGCTATAGGGCCATCCCAGTAGGGGGCATGTTAGACCTCTGCAGAGAGACCACTGCTTCCACATAGCAAGCAAGAGTCCCACTATGCAGCTGCTAACAGGGGGCAGGCTTTTCAACACAGACTGGTTGCTTCCAAAGATAATGAACTGTAAGACATTGAGCACCTTTTTATGCACGTGGAATGTATTTAGCGGATTTTAACTGATAGTTCAATTGGCTTTAATTATCTACTTGTCTATTAAAGAATATGTGTGGTGTGTGTGTGTGTGTGTGTAAAAATGTTAATTACAAGAGATTGATTAGAGTTGCATGCATGATAAAAGCACCCTCAGGCAACCTTGTACTTTCCAGCCGCATCATAAACATGTATGCTCAATTTAACTGAGGGTACCATATTATGCCTATGAAGAGATCAGTGGGGGCTGTACCATGTGCCATGCTGTCCGGTTCAGATTCTTGTCTTGGCTATATTAACTTGCTTTGCTTACAGATCTATGGAAATTCCTCACAAAAGAGTTAACAGGCTGTACTGTTTTAGAATTCTTAGTAGCTGGTAGGAATGTCTCTTGCCATTAACAAACATGTCATTTAGCCCAGTGCTTGGGCAATTCATGCCACTTGTGGGTCACCTTAGCACATAATAACATGACATTTGTACTGACAGTAAGAGACACATTTTCCTGGTAGGAATTGCCCCTCACACACACAGCCTCCCATACACCAGATGTCTCTGTAATGATAATGTAACATCTTCCTTGTCTTTAGATTTCAGATGCTCTTTTGACATGACTTCCATTTTTTCAAGTCATTTTCCATCACTGTCTTAAGCCAGCATGTCACATAAGGATTATTAGTTGCACAGCCACCCTGCTCTGTTTGCTGCATTGTCGCTCTGAGTACTCTGAACAATGCAGGTACTAATACACGTTGTCATGTAACGCTGCGCAAGTGGCATTATGGAAGAAACACTGGGTATCTTAGGTGGGAAAACACTAATACATCCAAAGCAAAAAACTATTAACAGCCTACCAATCTTCTAGTGGACCAACATGCATTTAGGGAATAAACACAAAGCCCTATGATCAGTACGCAGTATAGCAACATTCTCATAAAAAACGAACTCAAAATTGCAAAGTAAAGGCACCACAGCTCCACTGACATGTTTGAGACAAAAAGAAGAGATCTTGGTTGTGCCATTCTCCATCTTGGAGCTAGAGACTGCAAGATCAACTGCAGGGAGCTATTGTGGAAGATATTCCTGGAATGCTCTCAACCAGTGGTCTCAAATCAGATGCCTAGGTGACACATGCGGATATCAGTCCTCTCTGATGTGGTTCCAGGAAGCATTTTAGTAAAGGTTTGCCCCCCAACAGCCTGAACATCTGCTGCTGCATGAAGACGAGCAGTGGCTGTCTATTTTATTCTATTTGGCATCATAATGATAAGTACTGTGGTTTTGCAACACTCGGGTTCTGGGATAAATTCTACTGGCCACTGAGGTGATCACATTGGATTGTTGAAAGGTGGCAGACACAGTAGTGCTCCTAGCTGAAGCAGAAGCCTTTGGGAAGTGTGTGTGTCTAGGGTCAGGGATAGATTTTCAGAATAGTAAAGGTACTTGCAGGGAGCAAAGGTTGCCTGTAGGTACAGAGTAGCAGTTTGTTAACTTTTGGTAACTTGACAGGTTCCCTTTATAACCCAATGTCAGCTTTCTACTTGTCTCCTTTGGACAATCCATTTAAAGCCCATCTCTGGGCAAAGTTCTCCCTCCTCCTCTGCGCATTCCGAGAAACGCATTTGCGGTGTCATTAGTTTCTAATGGCTTCCCAAACACGGATGGCAAGTCGCATGGTTTCCGCGTGTCACATAAAATAGTGCAGGAGCCTTTTTCCCGCGCATATATGACCCCACTAGAATTGATGGGGTGCGTTCACAGGAATCGAAGGTGTGGACCAGGCCTTACTCCCTGTTATAGTGTGATGTACCTTTAGAATCCTTTTTTATACTCACATTCATCCAAGTCCATCGTCCATGTCCCTTGTCGGTGCTGATTCTAGACAGCCCATAGGAACTATCCACATCACCCAGGCAGTAATGTGGACACCCAAAGAAGGGCCTTCCCCTAAGGAAATAATAGAAAAGGCAGGGGCCCAGAGTGTCAGGTGACCACGCATGTTGGCGAGTATTTAACTCAGCCATCAGTTGGGAGGATGAGAGTGAGAGCCTGGAGTTCAGCTCTAAAGAAAACACATAGAGGCATATTTATAAAATAGTCAAAGTAACTTTCACCAAACATTCACTAATGGAGAATAAACCACTGTCATGTAAAACACCAGAATGATTCACCTGTAGTAAATGTTTAATGAATATCATATCAGATTTATTGCTTTATAAATATACCTAATAATTTTTTTTTAAATATTTGGTATCATTGTTTCAAAAAGTAACAATACAGCATTCGAGTACATAGATGACAAAACAACAAGGTTCGAGAACACGGCAATCAGACATTGTTTTCTGGATGTTGCGGAGTCCTTGTCTTCTTTTTTTCGATATTACATAGATAGCTAAGTGAAGAACAAAACAAAAACATGCAAGTCTTATAACCATAAGGAAGAGAGTGGGGAGGGTATATAGGAGGTAGGCAGACTGCCAAAGTGTATAAGGCAATCATGAACCAAAACAGGAAAAATTATTGGGTGGGGGGGGG